CTCTAAAATCAATATAAAAACATTTTTTTCAAAAACCAGGAATTTATCCCCTCTCAATTTTAGAGAACAGAAGTCTGAAATCAAGGTGTCAGCAGGACACATTCTCAAAAAGCTCCAGAGGAAAATCAATCATTGCCTCTTCCAGACCCTGCTGGCTCCTGGTGTTCTTGATTTGTGAAAACATAACCCCAATCTCTACCTACATCTCCACATGGCCTTCTTCTCTGTGCATCCCATTCTCCCTTTCCTTTCTCTCGTAAAGAAACCAAGCATTGGATTTAGGGCCCACAATAAATCCGGAATAAGTCCATCTTGATATTCTTAACTATATCTGCAAAGACCCTATTTACAAATGAGATCACATTCTAAGGTTCTGGCTGGACATAAATGTATTGAGACACATTGTAGTTCTAATAAAATGGTGAAAGGTAATTAAGGAGCTGTTTTAAGGATTTTAAAACTGAATTCAGGATGAGAAGGAAAGAGTACTAGGATCATGAAGAAGGCATGGAACATAGATGCACATTTGCCCTGTTCTTGTCATCACTATTCACTTATCTATAAGGAAACTGAGACTTAAGAAGGTTTGTCAGTGCCCAAGATCAGCCAGTGGCAAAGTTATACTAAAATAAAAACTACTGACTTAAAAGTCAGTGTTCTTTGCACTATGTGTTTTAATAATATTTACTCATCTCAACACTTTTACTGGGAATTATTAGTAAAAATATAAATATACAACATTGAACATTGCTGACACCTTAATACTTAAGTTGTTTTAATTGGTCAGATTAGTTAAGAACCATTTCAGTGGCTGATTTCCATTTTCATCCCTAATAGCATAATTGGCATAATGCTAACCTTTCACCTGAGGACAAAATAAAAGCTGGATAAAGTTTAAAGAAAACATTTTGGAAGTTTTGAAGTGTATAGCTGATGTTGGTAAGGAAAGTATTGATAGTAAGAAAGAAGGCTATTTCATGGTGACAAAAAGTGCCAATTTAACAGGAATACATAAAAAACATACTATATTTATAATCATCTAATAATATATCTTTAATATATATGTTAAATAGAATTAAGAGGTCACTTAGGCAAATCCATATTTATAATTAGAATATTTTAACTGCCTCTGTCTCTCATGGATGTCATACACAGATAAAAAAATCAATAAGGGCATAGAAAATTTGAGCAATATTAAGAAACTTAATATAATTGATATATAGAGCCATTTACCTAATTATTGAAAAAGACACTTAAAAAATTACCAAAATTGACCATATGCTGGGAGCACATAGCAGGTCTACACAAATTTCAAAGGATTGAATTCATTTAGAATATATCCCTTAATCATAGTAGAATCAGCACAAAAATATAAATATAAAAATCTCCCCAATATTCTAAGTTAACCCTGAGTAAAAGAGAAATCACAGTAAGAATTGTATATAATAAAGAGGTAATATGTAAACTGACCCTCATGCCCTCACATCACAAGATAGCCACCCCCACATCATCACATGATGGCCACCACAAGATGGCCACCTGCATATTGTCACAAAATGGCCAGCATGGTTGGGCAGATGGGGGTGATTAGGCTAGCAGGGGAGGGCAGTGGAGGGGGGAGCAGGCCTGGAAGGGAGGGCAGTTGGGGGTGATTGGGTCAATAGGGGAGCAGTTAAGTGTTAATCATGCCAGCAGGGGAGCAGTTAGGTGTCAATCAGGCCAGCAGGGGAGCAGTTAGGGGAATATCAGGCTGGCAGGCAGAGTGGTTAGGGGAAATCAGGCAGGCAAGCAGGTGAGTAGTTAGGAGCCAGCAGTCCCAGACTGTGAGAAGGATGTCTGATTGCTAGTTTAGGCCCAATCCCTGCAGATTGGGACTAAACCAGCAGTCATACATCCCTCAAGGGTTGCCAGATTGGAAAGGTGCAGGCTGGGCTGAGGGGCACTCTTCCCCCATCCTGTGCACAAATTTTGTGCACTGAGCCTCGAGTAAATAAATAATGATGAAAATACCACATATTAAAACTTCTAGGATATAAAAAAAAGATGACTTGCAGAATACAGCAAAAGCAATTTGTAGTGGCACATTGAGAGCCTTAAATGCATATATTAGAAAAACAGAAATATTGAAAAATTAATAACCTATACTTTGATGTTAACAAGCTAAGGAGGGAATGCAAATTAAATCCAAAGGGAGTAGGATGAAGATAATTTTAAAATGGTAGAAAGTAACTGTACATAAAGAAAATCACCAAACCCAACACTCATTCAACAAAAGCAAATAAATGTTGAAATATTTCTAACAAAACTGGTCAACAGACAAGAAAAGAAATATACAATGTCAGGAATAAAAAACATCTTCCAGACAAAAATAAAATTAGAGTATATCATGAACAACTTTATATATGTCAAGACACTTTAAAATGTAGATAAATAGGCAAACTCATTGAAAAACAACATATTCAAACTGACCCAAGAATAAATAGAAAATCTGAACAATGTTCTATTAAAGAAATTAAAATTCTAGTAAAGATATTTCCATATGATAAACTCCAGGTCTAGATCAGTTAATTCTTCCTAATACTTAAGAAATAATAGCAATTTACCTCAAACTAAATCAGAAATAGAGAGAAGGTCTCGCAACTTGTTTAAGGCTGTCCACATATATTTTGATACTAAACTGGACAAGAATGTTACAAAAAAAATTATGGAATGATGTAGCTCATAAACATGGACACACACACACACACACACACACACAAATATCTAAACTAAGAATGAGGGCAGATGAAAGAAGCATGTGGGACAAGGCTATTAAAATTATTTTCTTCATATTTCCCTCATTTCACTCTTCAGAGGGAGAGCAGCCTTGTGCTTGAGGTAGAAAAAAAAAGTGTTTATTGGAAAGAAGATTGCACAGTAGGAGAAGTACCCTTCTGAAGTCACATATAATTATTAAATCCCACCAGGGAAGTACTAAAAATTCATCATAGTTCTCTCTATTGGCAGTCTTTCATGCCACGCCTCTGTGGTAACTAACTGAAATGAAAGAAGCAGAAGCATGAGTCATACTGCAAGATTCAGTCCCTGATCTTCCATATGTTGGCAAGGTGCTGTTGGGTAAGTTGCTTTGTCTCTCTGATCCTTAGTGCTCTCATAGAAACCAATGGGTCAATAGTATTTATCTCAAGGTAGTTAGGTGGATTAAATGAGATAATAGGTGTGAAAATGGCTGGCATGTAAATTCTGGCAAGTAAAGTTTTATATGTGCACATAGCACATTTCATAGACAGAAATTTTTCCAAAGCTGGAGATACTGTCAGCATTAGTTATTTACATGATTTATGACACTCAAAATCACTGTCTACCATTTTACATTACAGATATTTAATAGATTACATAATAAATTAATATTATCCATAGTAAGAGTAACAAATAAATGACTCTAACAGATTACCATTTATTGTTGCAGCTACTTGCAATGTCCTGGTGTGTAGATTAGATGCATATTAATTAGATTGTATATGGTGCCTCTTCCAAAGTTAGAGAGATGATGAATAGCCTATTTGGAGTAGGAGGGGACAGCAGTGTCCAATAATCAATCTAAACACTCAAGGTACTCTATAAGAAATCAGAGGGAAAATTTTTTTGAAGAATTCCCTGGATAAAAGTACTCTAGGGTGGATCAGAGTAAAGTGAGTCATGCAAGTGGCTTTGACTCCCAACACAGCACAACACGGATGAAGAGACTGAGAATCAGTAACCAAATCTAGGCTTACATTTCCTCAGGTGACCTGTGTCTTTAAAATATCCTTGCAAAGAAATATCCTTGCCTGAAAGGCACCTTCCTTGCATGCCTGCATGAAAACTTGTTACTGGTACTTTAAAATCACACATTCATTCCATCAAAAATGTTTATGAACCCCTTAATAGGCATGAAGTGCTGTGCTAGGCACCAGGGTTCTGATGGTGTGCAGCATCAGACTATGACTTCAATCTTATTTGTCAACTTCTGCATCAACATCCCTATAAACTTGCCCTGGTTGCTCTCTTTCTAGTACTCAAAGCTCTAAATTGTCCATGTGGTATTAGAGAAGAATCTGTGTGTTTACATGGCTAACCCCCTTTCCAACCTCCCGCCTGGCAGACAGCTCCACAAGAGGCAGGCCTGTGTTAATTCATCTTTTATTTCCCAGTGCACACCTCGAAGTCTGACACATAGTGGAGCTCAATAAATGTTTATAAAATACATCATTTATTATTTATGAAGCCTTGGTATAGTCAAGTCTGTTAAATGATTCTGCTGATAAATAGGAGAGAAATGAAACAATTACACTTAGGAAAATGATACACTTTTGAGATATTCTTTGTGTATTTTTTCTGTTTTGTTAGATTTTATTAGCAGCCCTAGCAGCTACTTTAAAACTGCCCCAAGAGCTAACATCATTCACTTTTAAAGAGATGCAAAGTATAAATACAGGTGAAATTATGCCTGATTAGCTTTTTTAGGTTGAAAATCAGGAGGCTTTCTTTTAAAATAATAAAATAAGCTTCCATTTAATTGGAAATACTTAGCATAAGATTTGCTAAGTTTTTATACGAATTAACAACATTCATCTAGAAATGGAAAGTGGTAAAAGGCATTCATAGAATTTGACATAACACCAAAGTCTGGCACATCCTTCAAACAGAGATAACATTGTTTATTTAAAAACCCTTAGAATAGATATAAATATTTTCTCAAGTTAATAACAAAATGTGGTGACCTGTCCTTGAAAATGAAAGAAGAAAGCCTATCATTATGTGTGACCCCAGAAGAGAAAAAGCCATTCTTCAAATAGCACTAAGCAGACTTGAGAGGCTTCTGCAGAAACACTATGAAGGGAACTTAGGAGAAAAGAGATGCAGTTCAAATGCAGAAACAATCAAAATGGTTAGCCTTTAACCATCATCTAAAAACCACAAACAAAAGCACTAAAGAGTGAAAGTATGAAAGTACCTACTTGGTCTGATGTTTAGATCCTTTCAGGTGGGCGTGATACTGTTCTATTGAGTTTAGAGAGACACTGCAGATGGTACATCTGTAATTACGCCTCAGACCTGTGGACAACAGACAGACCACATTAGCTGCATCCTTGTCTTCAACCACCTGAATGAATTCTAGAATCTCCCAAGATTCAGGGGCAGAATATCTTAGCGGTTATCTGGTCTATCCCACCAACAACATTTTGATCCCTTCTTCCTGAGCCCAGTCAACAAGTCTCTTAGCAGAAGGATAACTGTGAATGTGGTAGAAGATGCCTGCTCCATTTATGGGTGGCTGACATTATTAAAACATATTTTTATATAAAATGGTTCTGGAAATTTTGTGACATAAGAGATGGAGATAGATATGATAAGCTGTCTTATCTGCATGAAATTTGAGACTCCAGAGAATACCTGTCTCAATTCCTTCTCCACAATTACTCCAATGGCCGAGTCAGAAAACAACTTACACATCATTCACTTGGGCTCTTCTTATATTCAGAGGGATCATATATTAATTGATTTCACAAGAAAGCTTACTTCCCACGAGAGTTTAAAAGAAAATTATCTTTTTATTTCCTTATTTATTCATTTAAATAGTTCATTAATAGAGGATCAATTTTGGATCAGGCACTGGGGAATTCTAAGATGAATGAGATGCTCTCTGTTTCCAAAGAGGTTATTTAAATCCTCATTCCTTTGTAATATTAACTCATCTAGTGTCAACATGTTAGAAAGCAGCTTCAACAAAACAACTTTAAACATTTGCCACAGCACAGAGACCCACAATTGAACACATTCCTTCTGATGGTGTGTCCAAGCAGAGCAGAGAGAAAAGGAAACTAAGAGTTAAGATCTGAAACTTCAGATTTAAATTCTGGCTCCAATCATTCCTGGTTGTATGATCTAGTGGAAGTCATATAATTTCTTCTTAGCTTCAGTTTTCTTCAATTGCAAGATGAAGACAAGACCATCCATATCACAAGGTTGTTATAAGAATTAACTAAATAAGATATATTAAAATTCATTGTTAGCACATTGTTAACTGGCTTGGCTCAGTAACTAGAGCATTGGCCTATAGACTGAAGGGTCCTAGGTTTGATTCTGATCAAGGGCACACATTGTTCGAAGAACTTTATGACCTGATATCTGGGTACAATTATACAAATTATTTGACTTCTCTGTAATCATATAAGAAAACAGAAGTCAAATTATTTGACTTCTGTTTTCTTATATGATTGTGGGAGGACTAAGAAAAACATGTGTGAAAGAATGACTGACACATAACAAGTGATCAATATAAATTAGCTATTATGATGATTTCAAAGAAGTGTTAAAATGGAACTATTTCTGTCCCAATGTTCAGATGAAGCCCTTAGTTTAAGTCCTAAGACATAGATGCTAACTTCACCCACATTACTAAAGTGAATATGAGGGCCACAAATCAGGACATCCAAAGGAAGTGATCAAGAACCAGTTTCTAGTTCCAAGCTGATCATTCACCACCAGTCTAAAAAAGAGATAGAAAGAAAGAAATAGAGAGTTTCTAAAAGGAAGCTATACAAGTACTATGAGTTTTACTTATCATTCTCCATGTGAGCTGTGGGAAGAGTTCTTCTCTCTCACCTGAAACCTATGGGAAAATAAATAGCTAATCACAATGGCATCAGAACCACAGATGTCTGGGACCTTTTTGGGAAGTACTAATCTAAGGGACTCAACTTTACAGGTACAGACTGATGATTCAGATGAAATAGACAGCTATTGACTCTATTCCCTAGGCTTACACAATGACTCCCAAACTTCCTTGTGTGGATACAGCCTCCAGTTATAGTGCTAAAATGTAGATTCTCAGGCAAAACTTCTTGAGATTCTGATTCTATAAATTTTGGATATGGCCTGGGAATATATAAGAAGATTCAGACTAATAACTCCAAACCTCAACATACACACACACTTTAACAAGTACTGTCCCCATAGACTCACATGCCTTTTGGTAAGCTGAATTTGTCAGGACAATAGGTCTTAAAATGTTATTCTATAAAAAAGAGCTGTGCTTAAATCACTTTTGAATTTCACAGGTATGCATGATTGAGAAAGTTACCACAGTCCCCAAACCCAGAGACTGTAAGTTATCACAACCAGCATGCATATGAGTTGTTTAAATCCTCATCTCCCCTTTTGTGCATGAAATCAGAATATGAAAGCCAGCTTCAGACTTTCTCACTCCACAGATCTCCATCAATCCTCTCATAATAAATGGTAACTATATTTTATACAAGTCCCCTTCTGACTACAGACTAATCAAAGGTCTTTCATAACAAATGGAGGTCCAGTTTGGCAGCAGGCATAAATATTTATGTTTTAAAAACAGACACTTTTAAGACCACCAACAAATCTAAAAAATATTCTGATCTCTTACTTTCCATTAAAGTTTTCATGCTCTGCAGCCAAACAGAGGCGTGGGCAGGAAATATTTGGCACTTAATGCAATGCAAACTACAGGGAGTATAAACTAGAAAGGCCATGCGTATAAACAAGAACAAAGGCAGCAAAGGAGCAGAGGAGTCCTCCCCCACACATGACACAGTGTCCTTGGTGGGAACTTAGGGCTTTATTAATGCTCAGTTGAAAGCCAAATACTTTGGAATTATATAGCTCTTTCTTCCTCAGAGAACCAGAATCTTATTAAACAAAAATGCTAACTTTTCTACTTAATTCATTTTCAGTATAATACCATCTTAAGAGTATTCATAAAACCTCTGTAGACCTAAAGCTTATTTCTGTAGAATTTTCAATATGTGTTAGAAAATATAGTCCCTGCCTGCAAGGGACTGACAGTCCAGTTCAAGAGGAAATATATGAATACAAATATCAATAGTGTTAGGTAGATCATAACAAGTACCACAGTCTGGATGAGTAGAGTGTCCCAGAAACTAGGGGAGAAAATTGTTTCTAACACAGAGTTGGAGAAAGCTTCCTGAAGATGCATCACTTTTGCATTTATATTCCCGAGTACAGTATGTATGGTCCTGGAAGGTTGAGCAGTATGTGACTATTCTGTCTTTTCAAGTCTAGCAAAGTTAGACTTCAGATGTCTCTGAAACTTTAGATGTATCCATTCTGCACTAGAGAAACATCATTATGACTTTATTACCATGCCAGTTATTTTGCTGAATGCCAAGAATGTGGGAGAGAATAAAAGAGGCAGAATAAAATTATTTCTGGAGCGAGTCAGGTAGGAACACAAAAGACAAGTAAAGAAAGAAAAACATAATTAAAGACTGTGAAAGTGTCATACAGAATTTAAACAGAATAATGAGAAAGAATGAAAGAAGAAGGGTAGCACAGTCAAGAGTTCTCTGAGACGTATGATATGAAACCAAGGGAATGAGAATTAAGCTGTGATTGAAGAACTAGTTTAAGAGTTGTCCAGGAAAGGTAAACAGAAAACACAGAGAGGTAGGAATGGAAATCAGCTGTGACTGTTCAAGGAACAAAATGTGGTGAAAAAAAAAACTAAACCAAACAAAACTGTCAAGTCAGAATTCTATATCCAGCCAAAACATCCTTCAAAATGGAAAGTGGAATAAGAATATTTTCAATAAAAAGGAAAGAGAACAACCCTAGCTGGTTTGGCTCAGTGGATAGTGTCAGCCTGTGGACTGAAGGGTCCTAAGTTCAATTCTGGTCAAGAGCACATACCTGCATTATGGGCTTGATCCCCATTGGGGGAGGTTCAGAAGGCAACCAATCAATGATTCTCTCTCATCATTGATGTTTCTATCTCTCATTTCCTCTCCCTTCCTCTCTGAAATTAATAAATATATTTTAAAAATTAAAAAACACACACAATTAAGAGAACAGTTTTCCAGCAGACCCACATCACAGAAAGACTTATAAAGTCCTTTAGATGGGAGGCAAAAAAACCACACAAGACTTAAATTCCTATATACAGGAAAAGATAAAGAACACCATAAATGATCAATATGTGGATATCTATATTTTTATTCTTCTAAATTTATTTGAAGAAACTGAACAATTTAAACTGTAACATTATATTGTGAATACATGACAACAATAACATAAGAATGAATAGGTGTAGGACAACACTATTGATTGATCATTATCTTTTTCATAAAATGGTAAAAAGTAACTCTAAATAGACAGTGGTCATTTCAGGATACATACTCTATTCCACTAGAAACAAATACAAGGACATAAAGCTATGGAGCCTATAGTGAAAATTAAATAGGATGGTAAAATTATTTTGATTAACTCAGAAAAAAGCAAAAAAGGAGCTCTAGACCCAGAGGCTATCATTGAAGAATTCTGTCAAACATTAAAGGATTGCATACTATCAACTTATGCAAATTCTTTCAGTGAAGAGATGAGAAAGAAATACTTCCATACTTATTTTTGAGCCAGTATAACACTAACCAAAAGAATTAACAGACTCCAAAAGTAAATACAATTATAAACCAATATTTATCATAAGCATGACATAAAAATCCTTTAAAATTTAGCAAATCATTCCTAGCTGGTTTGGCTCAGTGGATACAGTGGCAGCCTGTAGAATAAAGGATCCTGGGTTTGATTCTGGGTTACTGGCTTGATCCCCAGTAGGGGGTGTGCAGGAGGCAGTAGACTAATGATTCTCTCTCATCATTGATGTTGGTATCTCTCCCTCTTCCTTCCTCTCTGAAATCAATAAAAATATATTTTTAAAATTAGCAAATTAGAAACACAAGTTAGATACAGACATGCATGTATATATGTATATACACATTCATTATGATATATGTATATATGTATACAAATATCAGAATCAAGTTTATTTGTTCCAAGAGAGAAGATTGGTTTAACAGTTAAAACTCAAATTATATAATTCACTATATTAACAGACAAAATGAGAAAATAATATAATTTTAGTAACTGCAGAAAAGATCATTTGACAGATTTCAACATCCATTCATGATCAAAATTCTCAACAAACTGGAAAAGAACTTTCTTATTTTAATAAAGAGCACCATGAAAAACTTATAGCTAATGCTATATTAAATGGTAAAATAGTG